TTTTTGGCTTTTTTTTGTTGCTTCTCTAGTCCTGTGTGCCATCTCCTCCCCTTCTTGACAGGCTGTGATTTTTTGGTTTGTTTTCTTCTTCTTTTTTTTTTTTGGCTTTTTTTGTTGCTTTTCTCTCTCTCCCTTCCTTCTACTCTTTCTCCCACCCAGCTAGCCCCATGTGCCATCCCCTCCCCTTCTTGACAGGCTGTGATTTTTTGGTTTATTTTCTTCTTCTTCTTTTTGTTGGCTTTTTTCGTTGCTTTTCTCTCTCTCCCTTCCTTCTACTCTTTCTCCCACCCAGCTAGCCCCATGTGCCATTCCCTCCCCTTCTTGACAGGCTATGATTTTGTTTTGTTTGTTTGCTTTGTTCTTTTTGTTTGTTTTCTGATTTTTTTTTTTTTTTGCCTTTCGTGTTGCTTCTCTTTCTCTCCTCTCCTTTCTTTTCTTCCACCCAACTAGCCCCGTGTGCCATTCCGTCCCCTTCTTGACAGGCTGTGACTTTCTGTTTCTTTTCTCTTTCTTCTTTCCTTTCTCCCACCCACCCAGGCTTGTGCACCTCCCCCAACCTCTGGAGGGGCTGTGCTGCACAGCTCAGTTGGAGAGTCACTGCACGTGGCCTCCCTGGGTGTGCGCCACTGTCACTGACTGGCTCCCTCAGCACCATTTTATTTATTTATTGTTTGTTTGTTTTTTTGGGTCTTTTTTCTTTTTTTGCAGTTGGTTCTCCTCTTCCACTCCCTTCCTTCATTTCCTTTCTCCCATCCATTCAGCCCCATGCACTTCCCCCAACGTCTTGGCTGACTGTATTGTACTGCTCAGCTGGAGAGCCTCTGGCACACGGCCTCCCAGGGTCTGGGTCACCCCCACAGGCCAGCTCCCTCAGCACCATACTTTGTATTTTTCTTTATCTTTCCCCTTCTCCTTTTCCTTCTCCCTCCCACCTAGGCCCTTCACTGCCTCTGCCCCTTCCTGATGGGCTGTGCCATGCTGCTTGGTGAGAGAGACATTAGCTTGCCACCACTCTAATTCTGCCCCACTCCTAATGGCCAGCACATCCACCACCATATTTATTTTGTTTGTTGTCGTTATTTATTTTTTGTTTGTTTGATTGTTGTTTTCTTCTGTCTCTTTCCCTTCTTTCTTTCTCTTTCTCCTGCCCACCTAGCCCTGTGCACCACTCACGCTGCTTCTCCACAGGCTGAGCCGCACAGCTTGGCTAGAGAGCCACCAGCACACAGCCTTGCTGGGTCTGCCCCACCCCCACCAGCTGAATCCTACCACATCACCATTTGCTTTATTTTTTTCTTTTCCTCTTTTTTTAAATTCTTTTCTCTCTTTTTTTGCCTTTGTTTCTCTCACTTCTTTCTCTTCTTTCACCCATCTGCTTAGCTCTGTACATCATATCCTCTCCTTTCCCTCCTGCTTATCTGCACCATAGCCAAGTTCCACAACCCAAGTGGTGCTGACACAGTCCCCCAG